TCTTCAAGTAAGTGACAAACATAATGATTAACAATGTAACACTTGTTCCAGGTATCATTTATTTTTCAAAATTTTAGGGTTTTGGACTGGGACTCGATGAGTTAGGGAGCTCCAACTCATCGAGTAGGAATAATTATGGACGCGGGATGGAAGGTCTACTCGACGAGTTGGAAAGCCCAACTCAACGAGTAGACACTAAAAAGGAAAATCCTAATTTTTAGGGATTTGTACCTCTATTTAAGGAACTTATGGCTCATTGTAGCCTCCCTCGTCGTCTTTGAAGCCCAAAGAAACCCTAATTCGAGTCTTATACCTTCTTGAGTTTATGAGAGAGCTTTAAAGAGTGATTTTAGTGTGGTTGTGAAGGAATTTGGAGATTAAAGAGGTTGGAGTAAATAAGGATTCGGTAGATCCGACATATACTCTATTTTGGCAACCATCTTAAGTTATAAAGTTGCTAACTTGACCACTATTTGCTTAGATCTCATCTTGTGAAAGTTTATTATCACTTTTGGTGCATAATGGTGTCATTCTCGAGTTTGAACCGGTCATGAGGATATGGTTTCGAATCTGGACACCTCTAGGCCTCCATGGACATAAAGTTGCCCATTTTATCTAGTCTAGGCCCTTTTCCATGCACTAAACCTTGTATGAACCTTAGTTTTAGTGTTTTAGCCTTTTGAGGCCTTTCATGCACGTAAAGTTTGCAACTTTACATAGTAACTACACTATAGGGGGCAGGATCTGTAGTTTGGAGCCTTGGATTCAACTGGAAAGGACTGAACATGAAAAGTGATGAAGGAACTCGACGAGTTGGATCGATTTACCCCGCCTTCTGGATTCTAAATGAACTCGTCGAGTGAGTGAGATGACTCGTTGAGTTTATTGAAGTTTTCGATCTTCTGGATTCTGAATGAACTCGACGAGTTACTCAGGTAACTAGACGAGTTGACCCAAGTTTTCAGTCTTCTGGACAGTGAAGGAACTCGACGAGTTGGGGTCAACATGGACTATTGACCTGGACTATTGACTTTGACTTTAACTTTGACTAGGGTTGACCAAGTTTGACTACGAGGCTATTTTCGGTATTTCAGGATTTTAACAAGTTAATCACATGATGATTATAGACATTTGAGTTGGAACTGCAAGTTGGGACTTTTCTTATCGGCTCAACATTTCTTGAGAGATGAGTCTCCTCACCATACCAATGGGTCTAAGGCACCAAGGAGGGCCCATTATGTGTTATGTGGAATGCTAGGTGATTTCGTGATATGTGATATGATAGTTATCTTTGTGATACTAGTATGGAAGACCCCGGGGGTTCCCGTGGCAGTAGACTAAAACCATGCGGGGGTTCCCATGGCATTCGATGTAAGACCTTGGAGGGTTTCCATGGCATCCTAGTATGTTTGTATGTTTAGGTTGTATGATATTTTTGTGTTAAGGAAGACCATGTGGGGGTTCCCATGGCAGGCAGTTAAAGACCATGTGGGGGTTCCCATGGCAGTGGGTTAATATCACGTGGGGGTTCCAATGGCACCCGAAGTAAGACCTTGGAGGGTTTTCATGGCATCCTTATATGTTTATATGCATGACTTATGTTGCTTATGTGATTGATACGGATTATATGGTTATGCGGATTATGTGGGGTATGCTATGGGGAACTCACTAAGCATTATCTTATAGTTTGTTGTTGGTTTTAGGTACTTCAGATCCTAAGGGCAATGGACAATGTTTGATGGTGCGGCGTGCACCCTCCGACATTTTATATGGGGACACTCTAATATTTGAAATAAAATGTTGTTGTTATGAATTTTGAAAACAATTATCATTGATATTTCATATTTTATGGGAATGTTTTGTTTAATTAAAAATGAAATTTTTATTTGAAAATTTGGGTCATTACAAACAAACTCGGTGTCACCGTCATTTTGATAAACCTTGATTTTTCTTGAAAATTGTGTTTGCACCAATTTTATGAATTTGGAGAAGATGACATGAAATTCAGATATTGCTTTTAAAGGATATAACCAACAAAAATGAGAATAATCATCCACAAATAAAGCATAATATTGATAGCAACCAACATACATAATTGGGTACGGCCCCCATAAATCACAGTGGACCAAGTCAAGTGGGTATAAAGCCCGTTTTTCATTCACTTCAAAAGATAATCGTTATGCCTTAGACATTTGACAAGGCAAAAACAAAATAGGTTTAGGTAGTATAGAAATGACATATAAACACCCCATTTAATTTAAAAGCAAAATAGTGTTGAGAGCCACATGACCCAACCATAAATGTCATAACTCAAACGACACCTTTAAGGATAAAGCAACAACAAGGGCTTGAGGAGAAGAATGGAGCACATATAACCCGATTTCACATTGGCCTTGGGCTAGGACTTGTCTCATGGAGCGGTCCTGAATATAGAAACTGGGATGGGAAAATAACACATCCAAATGATGATCAACAGTCAATTTACTAACAGAAAGTAAGTTTTTCATTAGGTGTAGGATAATCAACACACCATTCAAATGAAAAATATTTTGAACATAGGGTGACCAATATGGGAAAAAAGAAGCGAATTACCACTCCCAAAAGTAACATTGGCAGGAGACAGTTGCATAGTACCCGGAGAGGCTGTATTTAAGGATGGTGTCATGTAGTCGGTAGCACTGGAATCAAAATACAAATCTGGGTGTGGGAGAGCCATATTACACTAAGCGTGAAAGGTATTTTCAATATCGATACCAGGTGTAATGGTTTTAGCAGCAAAACTTGAAAGTTAGGGACAAACATTTGCATAGTGACCATCAGCACGACATAATTGACCGTGGGGATGGGGAGGTCGCTGACCATGTCCCCGACCACCTTGAGAACCGTCATGTGATGACCGGATACTAGTGCAAGATTTATTTCGGGAGGCAATTGAGATTTGAGGGGCGAACCGCACAGAAAGCAGCAACAGAATGGGTGGAACCATGTAGCGACTTCAGGAATAATTTTGTGGCTCTCGACTTTAACCAAGAGGTCAAGAAAAGAAGGCGTTGGCCAAGGGTTCGCACAACAAGTGAGAAGGTTTCAAACGAGGGCTCTAACCCGCACAGAAACCGATGTAACTTGTCCGAGTCATCAACGGGATGTCCTGTAGTTGCAATTGATCACAAAATCCCTTAAACTTACGGACAATTTCCGCAACAAAAGACACACCTATCACCGATTGGCGGAGTTGGTCATGTAAGTTCTAATCCTTTCAACCGAGAAGTTGTTGTAAGCAGTCTAAATCGCCATCCAGATGTGGTGAGCAAATGGAAGATCGATAATTTCAGCGACTGCCTCCTCAGAAAATGAGGTGTGAAGAATAATAACAGGTTGTTGATCATCAATTGCCCAGGCAGTATAGAGAAGATTGGGGTTGGACTTGTCATCGGTTAGAATTTCAGGAGAAGGGGCGACTGTAGAGCCACTGATGTGAGGAAGAAGGTTCTGATAAGCAAAGAGAGGTAACATCTGATTTTTCCACATCAGGTAGTTCGAGGGGGATAACTTGATTGTGATCATATGGATGAGGGTATTCATGGGGAAGGAATGATAGTGGAGGAAGAAGACATAGTTTCCGGAGGGGAGAGCTCAACAAAGTTTACAAACCATTCAAAAAAAACCTCAACCGTCTGTTTTAAAAAACTCAACGAAGTTAACTTTTTGTCTAAAAAATCCAACAAAGTTCCAAACGGTTCAAAAAATCACAATTTTGTTTTGTTTAACTTTGTTGGGTTTTTTTTAACAGTCAAAACATTATTTAAGGTTTTTAAACGTTTTGAAAGCTTCGTTCGTCTAACAAGTTATTTTCTCAATATGGTAATAAGTCACGTTATTTGTTTCTTTTATTTGACTTTTAGGAAAGTAAAACTTAGTTAGGCTTTTTAGACCAAATGTTAAATTCATTGGATTTCTTTGAACAAACAAAACATGATTGTGGTTTTTTGAACAGTTTAAAAACTTTGTTGGGCTCGTAAGTCATTTTACCGTTTCCGGAAAAGAAAGGAGAATGAGAAAGAGGTCGAGAAGAAAGGAGAATGAGAAAGAGGTCGAGAAGAAAGAGGAAACAAAACAAGTGGAAAAAGGAACGGTCAAAGATAACCGGCTTTAATACCATATGTAAGATTGGTAATTGTCTAATTGAAACTCTATCCCAATACGAGAAGATGTGATGAGTATATAAAGTGAAGGTATTTTACAATTTAGTGTACAAAAAATAAAGAATTGCAACAAAGGACAATCGATATTAAATAAGAAATAATCAATTAACATTAACATTTTGTAATATTAGTGATTAATTTTATAGTTTATTAATATTTGGTTATAGACAATATAACACAAAAAATTATCTATATAAAGTTTACCAAACAATTTTGAAATCACGTAAAGTATACTTAAATTGTTTTATTAAAATAACAAATATGTTGAAAAAGGCTAACGAGCCCGGTTTTACAAGTTACACCATTATTGTGGACATTTTGACCAGGCTCCCTCCATATATCCTCGTAGTTTCTATTCCCTACTATTTATTTTGAGAAATTAAATATATTCTTTTTTTTCCTATCATTTTTTATGATAAGTATAATAAAATTTTATTAAGTATGACATGTGTCAAAATCTTAAGTGTATAGGAAGATAATAATGGAAAAATATAAGGATATTTGATTTCTCATCTATTTTTTTTAACTTTTATCATTGAATGTAGTTGCAGTTGGCGCAACTAATTTCTCCAGGTTTAAAATCATTAACCTTGATATGGGTTCTGCTTAGCCAAGTCTGAATTTGATCCACCTCCACCTCCACCCCCACACATATTTAGTTGATCCATTAAACTAAAGATGTATCCATTCAAATCCAATCCATCCACTCATTTGATCTACTAAATGCTAACTGATCCCCCTTTTATGCTTTGAAACATTTATTTTGAATATTTGTCGCAATATTATTTATGCGAGTATATTACAGTATTATTTAGTGTGCCCCTACCCTACAACCTTATATACTTACACCATACACTATACTTGGACCAGACCAGTTTGACAGAAATTGGTAGACTTGGACCACACTTGTTGAGGCTGGTCCAGGTCCAAGTCCAAGTCCGGCTTTTTCAATTCTTATACTTATTGGACCAGTACAACATTAGATGCATGCGGTACAACTTTAGGTGTAAAAAAAATAACAAAGGACATTAATTATATTCACTCATGCAATATCTAATACCAACTCAATGAAAACACTTCTAAACATCTCTTTTGCTTACATTTTAAATGTTTATAACCCACAATAATTTTCAACATCATCCTTGTAGAAACCAATTGCATGCTTTAGAACTGAAAACTGCTCACCAGTTGATGTATAGATGTTTCTGTACACAATATCAAACAACCAACGAGGTGTTATAATGCCAAATACTGCTCTTCAAAAAGACACCATTGCAATTGAATAACCAATAATCATAACAACAATAATCAAAACCAAATATATATATTTACCTACTATTAGCCAAGGCCTCGCACATATTGATCAAGAGTCGTGTTAAATAACTCGCTTCTACACAACCAAATACAAACTGGTCATAACATTTATGATAAAAAAAAAAATTGTAAATATGGATCACAATAATCAAAACCAAATATATATATATTTACCTAACCATTAATTTTTTGGTGCAAATATTTATATAGATGTTCACATAAGCATGAGACTTATGCCAAGGACTTCAATTTGTTGAGTTGATATTTCATCTACCAACTTGATACATAATTACATATTCTGTCTGGTTGTTACACACACACACACACTAGATTTTTAAAGCAGATTGCTTACTTTATTGGAGTTCCAGGAGTGTATAGTGGATTCTTCACAACATATTCAACATACAAATTGTAGATGTATTTCAGAGACTCTCTGAGATCGCTAGCCTTGGGATGTGTTACAAGGATGATCTGAAAACCAATTGTTGAAATAAAATAAGCATAAATATTTACATACATACAAACATAGCAAAAAATTATAAACTTCAGAGTTTAAGGATAAATGAAAGCAACTGCTATTGGGATTAAAATATCTAATTTCCCATTTCTCTTTAAGTTATATACAATCTTTGTAATCAAAAAACTTGATGGTTTTATTCCATTGTGAAACGGTTAACCTAGAAATGTTGCTGCCAAGCTTGCAAACTGGTTGTTAAAATTTGGTTATGGGTATAATTATGATGATCAGTCTAGTCAAATAGGAAAGAAAACTGGAAGCTGATGCTTTACATGGCTAACAAATATAACATACTGTCTTCATGTTTCCCCAAACTATAAGTTTGCCACAACCAGTTCAGGATCATCATAAAAGAGGGGAAATCTAAAAATTTGAGGAAAATGAAAGGTCACAGTTCTTGGACATGTATGTATGCAATGAACAGATGAGAGTAGTGAAATAATATGAAATCATTGCAAAGAGATAAGTAGAAGTGAAGCATCTACAACAAAAAGAATTAATAGAAAAAAGAGGTTTGCTGACCTTTATACCAGATGGACTCTCCATGAAACTCAACTTGTATGTATTAGTACGAAAGCTGTGAAACGAACAACCTTGCCCCGGTAGCTGAGGTACCCCAAGATTCCCTTTCTCAACGCTGCTAAAATGAGTAATATGGTAAACAGAAATCGATGAATGCAGGTAGAAATAGATTCGAAAGTCTAGAGTCCAAAGGACGTGAGTGTAAGGGGTTATCCGGATCGGGAGTAAACACCATTGCTAGGGGAAAATCCGAGGGAAATGAAGTCCATAATTGTCTAAATCACCATAATAAACTATAACAAATTTCCAAGCATATGATTACGATCTATCAGCGATTCTAATCCGTAATCAGATTCTTAGGTGTGAAGACAGAGGAACCCTAGCTAGAAGCGTAAAAGAGTAATGGAATTGGAGACGAAATTGAGTAAACAAACCTGGATGGATCCATTTTGGCGGTTAGGGATTTAAGAGAGAAAAGGAGACCAAACATGAGTTTATGATCCTGATTGGAATCGAGGGTACGAAGAGGGCGATTCCACTCCCTGTAAAGCAAACAAACGCCGTTCCTGTTGAATACATACATCATGTGCGCATTGTTGCCCGATGCCGTCGGCACCGGCGGCGATGGACTGATCTCAGAACTTCCAAAGAATTGCATTTTCTGGATTCTAATATCTTTGACTCGTATTTTTTCGCTGAAACATGAAAAATCGCAGCCACCAATCACCGATCACACACTCCGATCAGTAAGTCGATAGATCGAGGTATTTTTGCCTTGGGAGTAATTCAGGGCGGAGAGGCTCGTCAAAATGGGTCCTAATTAATTATAGAGAATCACAGAGATCGTCCCTGTGGTTTGAACCAATCTGCGGGTTTCATCCCTGTCTTTTGTTTTTCATTCGTATCGGTCATTTCTTACTTCTAAACTTAGGGTGTTTGCCAAAAAGAAAAGAAGTTGTTTTAAAAGCCAAAAATTTGTGACTTTTGGATTTTTGGTTTTCACCTGTCTTAAAAGTTATCCAAACACATTTTAAAATTTTCTTTTTGAAAAAAATTATAAAGCAAATTAGGTTAAAAATCAATCCTAAACATCCCTTTCTACTTCAGCCACCGGACTCAAACAATCAATGTCTAATATGTTTGTCATGATGTTCTTCAGACATCGGTTACGATAAGATATTTGTCACCCTAAACTGGCATGTCTAGCTGTAGCAAGCAGCTTAGATGTGGGGTGTCATCCTCGTATAGATCTATACAAAAATCATCGCTCTCCCTCAAATAGACTATGGTTATAATTACAGGACTTACTATGTACAGTAGGTAGGTACGAGTAAAGGAGTGTCTCACAAGAGCCTTAACTAAATTTACGCGAATAGAGTATCAAATTATTTAACGCTATAAATAATGTTTCAAGTGTGTATTTTGATTACAACCATTAGCGATAAAAATATAATTGTTTTTATCGAAAGTGTCAAAATATTTGATGTTATCGTGGAAAACTTGTCGTTATCCCAAAATATCGTGAAAATTTCGAGTGTATTAGAATTTTCACTAACGGCCCGATTAACATAAGGTTTGTCACAAAAGGCCCAATTTAAATGAAATTGGCACATAAAGCCCAATTTAAATAATGAATTATCGTAAAAGGTCCATTTGCATCAAAATAAACGTTTTAGCCCAAAATTTCTAAAAATGACATAAAATGCCCACTTTTATCAAGAAGGACTCTTTTGACCCAATAAAATCAATAATGACAATAAAGGCCCAATTATGTTAAATATGATATTTTTGGCCCAAAATAACCGAAAATGAAAATAATGGCGTATCTATGTTAAAAATGACATTTTTGGCCCAACATAGCCAAAAATGACTATAATGGTCCATTTATGTTAAAAATGACATTTTTGGCCCAACATAGCCAAAAATGACAATAATGGTCCATTTATGTTAAAAATGACATTTTTGGCCCAATATAGCCAAAATTGACAATAACGGCCTATTTATGTTAAAAATAACATTTTAGCCCAATAAACCGTGAGTTGTCAAATAAGGCCCATTTTTATGAAAAATGCCACTTTTGGCCCATAAAACCATGAGTATCCCATAAAAACCCATTTTTATCCTTATTTGTCAAATACGGCCCCTTTGTACACTTTCTTTAGTTTTCTAGTAACTTTTAACATGTTTTGATCTTTTCCAACATCATAGAAAGTTACATTAAGTAACTTGTTTACTAAAAGGATGAAACTTGATGAAAACAACTTACCAAGAGGATGAAACTTGATGAAAACCTCTTGAAAACACACACCAAACTCACGAAAATTGCAAGGGGAATGAGGGAATTTCATTGAGCTTAAGAGGGAGATATGAGAGAGTTTGAATGAATTTGAAGTGAGGGATGAGGGAGATGGGGGACTCGGTCGGATTTAGAAGGGAGGAGGGAGATATTAAATGTGGTCACTACATGGTGGTTTAGCACATAAATATAGAAGTATGGTGGGTAATTTGTGTGGATTACCACCATGCATTAGTGAGGTGTCATAATATAGACAATGCGCTATTATATATATATATGGTCGAGAATAAGAGAAGGAAGAAAAAAATAATATTTTTTGGTTTAAGGTTGGACTGTAACCGAGAACACAATAGCCCTTCAAGGATTTTCCAGCCCAAGGAGGCCCAATACATGTTTTCGGTCCAAAAGGGTAAAGGAATGAGTTTTCGGCCCATTAAGGCCCATTAGACAGTTCTCGGCCTAAAGGTTGGCCCATTTAAGAATTTGGCCCAACGAGGTTAAATAAATGGGTTTTCGGCCCATAGAAACAAATTGAGAGTTTATCAACCCAATAAGGCCCATGAAGGGTCTTATGGCCCAAAATACTATTACTTAATGAATTTAGGTCCAACTAGGGCCCAAATGTGGATTCTTGGCCCAAAAGAACCAAATTGAGGGGTTACCAACCCATTAGGCCCAATAAGAGAGTCCTAGTCCATCGGGAGGTTTGAATCGGGAAGTTAGGGTTAAAACTCAAAGTTGAGTGAATGAATCGTATTGAACTAGGTTTAGAGCTTTCACGAGGAAGTTTTGACTTGAAACAAATTTCTGGATGTATAACTGATCTAGTATTGAAGTTTGGTTCACGTTTAATATAGTGTCATAGAATTACACAAGGAACCATCTTGTACATGAATAGAAAATTCTAGCCCTAAAATGCCAGTTGTGACAAAAATAAGGAACATACAATAATATATGGTTCACATGCTCAAGGTAATTGTGTTAGATCCACAAGTGAATTATAGAGGCCTATTCGTTTCACAATATTAAGGTTTATAAGTATGAGATATGTAAATACGAAGAATCTTATAACTAACAGAAAATACAGGCCAAGCCCACAAAACAACCTAAGTCATCTATAGAAGGCTTCAGATCCTTCATATGAGACACCTACCGGAAATTCACTTCTTGAATCCCCTTAAAGAAAATTCCCTCGTCTAGAACTCGCCTTCTCATAAATTCCCTTCAACTAGCATTATGGAAACCAATTTTTAGAGTCGATTATTTTGAGTATTGTATAAAATATACTTATAATCGTCTATAGAAATCATGGTTCTAAAAAGTGCGTCATGGCGCGCCTCAAGGCGTGTCATGGTGCGAGGCATGATCTATCCGTTACGAAAACATCCAAGGCAAGTTTGTTAAGCGTGACACCCAAATAGCGTGTCAAGGCGCACCTTATCGCGTTATGGCGTGAGTTTTTTTCAAGGCGCGAGTTTTTTTTTTTTCTGATCAGCCCTAAAATTAGTGATGAGCAAATGGACCGGGGAACCGGCCGGAACCGGTACCGGAACCGGAACCGGCACCGGAACCGAAACCCGATGGAACCGGTCGGGCCGGGACCGGAACGTTATTTTTGTGGATTTTTGGAACCGGGAACTGGAACCGGTAGAACCGGCAAAAACCGGAACCGTATCATGCTATTTTTCAATGACCGGTTCCAACATTTGAAGACACGACAAGAACCGGTAGGAACCGGAACCGATAGAACCGCCGGGCCGGTTCGGTTCTTGATTTTGGCCGAAGTTCGGGCCGATTCGGTCCTTTTGCTCATCCTTACCTAAAATAATTGAGTTTTTGTTAACTTTTTGATACTAAATATTAATATAACACTTCTAAAAACTTGATATATTTGATGAAATTCAATAATTATATGATTTATCTTTTTTTTTAATTTATATAAAATAGTCACGCTTTGAAAAACGTCATGACTCGCCAAAGCTTGCTATGGCTTAACTTTGACCTTGTCGTCAAGCTCACGCCTCATGTTATTTAGAACCTTGATAGAAATTAAGTCCTAAAGTTTTATTCTTGAACCAGTAGCCCCCATTGGCTCTTTCGGGAGTGTAGCCCATTGTTGGCTCGTAGTAGCGGCAATGACCCTTGATCTCTCTACAATGTATAAACATAGACTAAATTGTATATTTGTTAAGAAATTCTTCTTTAAAAAGTGTTAAAAGGCTTAAAAAAGTGTTGAAAGAGGTTTCTCCAACACTTGCAAAAGAGGATGGAGGCTAAGGGGGCATTTGGTTCACATATTTTTTTTTTTTGGAAGGAATGAAATTTTTTAAGGAATCGAAATTTGTTATGTATTTGGTTGACATTAAATGTTTTTTTTTTTTGAAGATTTTTCGAATGTATTAGAAAGTAAATTATGTAATATGAGCAAAATACTATTTTAACGATATTTGAAACTTATTGTTATATTTAATAAAAGCTTAGGTGTTTAGGTGTAGGCGTTTGCATGTGGTTGTGGATGTGGGATATGTGGATGGGATAGGGTTGGGTGGGATGAGTGTCGACATCGTTACGTACATGTGGGTCTGGATGTGGAATTTTTAAAGATTTCCTATTCCTTTGATTTTATTAATGGAATGCCATTTCTGCTAGAGTTTATATTCCAGTTCTTCTAAATCGTGAACCAAACAGATTCTAAGAAAATGATATCAACTTAGATTAGATGAGGATGCCATCTGAAAAGTAAGACCTTTTAAAAACTTTCAAATTTCACCACGAAGCCTTCTAATAACAGTACCAAAAATGCCAAAGGCGAAGCCTTATGAAAACAAGATGCAAGAAAAGGATAAACATTGAGGAGAAAATAGAGAAATCTTAAAGGGTGACGAAAGAGGTTTGTTTAACCATTGCAAAAGAGAATGGGGGCCAAGGGGATGAATTCTAATTGCTCACATATGCACCAGTATTGTGTACACAATGGGTATCTCTCTTACACTATCAATGACATAGATGAACCCGTACATATTAAGCTTCTAAGAACAATATTTGGAAGCATCATCTACTTGGCCATCTACAAGAATACATTACAAGATCAAGCAAACTGAATATATATGTACAACATTGCATAAGAAAAGTACATAAAGAACCTCAAAGCTAATACCGAGCACATATAGTTTTTGAGATGAAAATAAGTTTAATCTGATACCCACCTGCAACATGGAATTCTAATTTGTAGTTTGGTTTAACCTACAAAATGTAGTTCGATTTTACCTTATAGAAATTAAATTAGGCTCCATCAGCTCCATTCAGAGATGCCAACATATATGAAAGATTCGGAGCCATCAAGAGGTGAGATGTCCCATTAAGATAAGTCCAACCAAGAGCGTACCTTGTGATGGAACCATTAAGAGGCATACCAAACAGCCTCTTATTCCATGTGTCTGGATAGACCTAACCACTTTGGTGGGCTATAAACATGAAATCTTTTTAAAGAAAAGAAACAAATATAAAACCATACATTTTTCATTATCAACCAAAATGAGAAATTTTTCATCAAAACATAAAAGTCAAAAACACATCTATACCAAAAAAAAACACTCTTAAGGATGTTTAAACTTAAGAGTAAATAGCAACAAAAAGCAAAACTAGCAGAAGGAATATGAATAACAGATTAACCAACGTTATGAGCTATGACACACAAAACAAAAGAAAACAAAAAGTGCGTTGGCTTTTAATTAATATTCCCATTTCCTGAGTTCCATACCATCCGGTGCAGTTCCTTCCACCTCCTTCGATCCCACCTCTTTCCAGTTGGTCGACAGCACTGTCCCGTTCGACTCCACCTGTTAGTTACAAAATACCAAAGCGTACTTTTATTTATTACACCATTCTCATTTCTTTCTTTCTATTACCACAATCTACTTTCAATCCTTTTTCTTATTAAATACTCACTTTTCTACTTTGAAAAAACAACCATTTATATATACCACTATACTTTCAAAAAAAAAAAAAAAAACTCTTATCAAGCCATATACTTTGAAAAATCCACCAATTGTAGCAATTCTGCTTTCAGTTCTTTTCTTATCAGAACATTACACTTTTAAAAATCTACCCAATTATCGCCATGAAAATTGCTTTGAATTTGGATGATATTGCTATAATCTTGGGTAGATTTTCAAAAATACAATGTTGTAATATGAAAGTACATTGCTAATTCTAGCGTTTTAGGAAAAAAAAAAAAAAAAAAGTTGGTCTTACAAAAGATTTTCTCATGGCCCTTCTTGTATCCTCGTCAGCATCTTGATATATGTCACGGAAAAACTTGTTCAGAGCTGCATCACCATCAAGTTTTTCATCTTTTTCCTGAAAACAAATAAGTATTATTATTCAGTTATTACTTAGTAAGACTGAATGCCATGTCATCAGTTGTGGGGCCAAGTGAGGCATCATTAGGTCAAAAGATAGATATACCTCCTTTTTCACTTGAGCTTCAAGTTTATCCCAGTCTTTTGTAGGTTTTGAGGAAGGGTACATTGGCCTTTGATTACCTATATTTATCAATCATTAAAGAACAAGTTTACTCACTATAATAAGAGTAAGTTACAATTTTGGTCCCTGAGTACAGCTAATTTATTCATTTTTGGTCCTAAAAACTTCTCTTGCAAGTTTTATTGTTATTTGAGGTTTTCCTAATGTTTTTTTGTCCCTGTTCCAAGTAAAAGTGACTAATTTGAGGACCAAAATTACAAAAATCATCTATACTCAAGGACCAAAATTAGTCATTTTACTTGAAACAAGAACCAAAAATGTTACAAAAACCTCAAATAAGGACCAAAATTGCAAGAGAAACCTTTTGGGGATAAAATTTTGACAAAAACAAAGGACTAAAAATTCAAATTACTCCTAATTTAATATTGACTGGATAAATGATGTTTAAAAAACATTTGAGAAAATGAGTGACCTGATGAAACAGTGCTGCTTCTTACAACCAAACTGTTATTACTAAACTCAAGAGATGTCCAGTGAACTGGTTCCACTTTTGCAAGACGAATTTCTATTTTTGTTGACAGGACAACATATTTGCAGTTTGCAGGAATTATCTGTTTTATTAAAAAAAAAAAAAAACACGATATGTAAGTTAATATAATATATATTAAAGAAAAAACAGTTTGCTTTTAAGTGCACATGTTACCTTTCCAAACAATCGTGGTTGAAAAATGTAAGCCTCTTCACCAGGGATGTCAATTGTCACACTTAGCTGAAAAAATAAAAACAAATAAAACCAGTTACTAGCCATTAAATAGCAACATAATATTTATCTAGAAAAATGAAAAATAAAAATGAAAAATAAAAATGAAATGGCAACATACTATTTGTTCACCAAAGCTAACTGAGACATTCTCAGCTGGTATGCCTTTTGCAAATATACTCACAACTGCCTCCTCTGGTTTTTGATAGAATTCATGCCTGCATATATATAATATATATGGTTTGTTGGAAAATAATACTAGAAAATATATATATATGAGAAAGTAAGTGCAACAAATTTTTCATGTTGCCAATTAAGAGCCTCGTGAACTCATTTGCTGATTATGGAATAGCCTTAAATGTGCATTAATGCAACAACATTTTCACAGATTAACCTATTTATAAAATAAAGTGGGGTCTTGTACTTTTATACACAAAATATGTAGCAAAGTTTCATTTTAATACCAAGAGATGCAATTTTAACCAGTAGAAACATGGTTTGTATAATTCATGTCAGTTGCATTATTTGGTAAAAAACGTAAAACATTGTTAAATAGATCGGTTTAAAAGTGAAATATCACATAAAGGTGTAAAAATGGAACATTGCTGGAAAAAACGTTGCATATTTTGGTTGTAGTCTCATAGACTGGAACACGGTTTCATATTTTATCTAAAGAAACACTTTGTTGCACTAATTAAGAAAAAAGATAAAACGTCATTGCATAAATGCACATTTAACCCTTATGGAATTAGTAATTATCATTTTCTATAAATATATATATATATATATATATATATATATATATATATATATTAGACCTGAATTTTGGTTTGGCAGGAGTCCTTGTTGCCAATTCGGTAGATACATTATTTACTTGTTCCACATCTTTTGTAGCTGCATCGGTTCTTTCAGGTGCTTGAGAAGTCGCCACCTCAGTGGGGGTTGAAATTGAATCCACAGATTGCATCGATACCTCATCATTTTCCTCTGTTTATTAACAAAAAAAAAAAAAAAAACAAATTTAGAAACTTTTTATTCGTTTGGGTAAAATAGGGTTTGGGGTTTAGGAATCACCTGCAATGCATTTGTCACACTTTTGGATCCATTCTATGAATCTTGTATCATCTGGAACTAAAGAAGCACCAGCTTTGAAGGCTGTTTTAGCTGTCAGATATTCTTCAAGATTGAAACATGCAGTGCTGTCCAAATGAGAAGCAGCCAAACATTTAATTACTGGATGATATTCAATTATTCATATACGTAAGCCCAAGATATCAAAATGACACATTTTTTAAAAAAAATGGGTAACAAATTAAAATGAAATATTTCAAGAGCCTCTTACCCTTTGCGCAGATATGGTTTTGGATTTGTGGGGTCCAACTCAATTGCTTTGTTCGCATCAGAAACAGCTTCTGTTCCAAGGAATAATAATAATAATAATAATAATAAACATATGATCTTGTCTGCTTATGTTGAAAAGGGATGATAAATATAGAAACTTTCATGGCAGTTATCTTGAAATGGAAAGGTCAACGGCACGAAACACGGATGAGTACACAGCACAATTAAGCAATTATGCATAAATATCTTAAAGTGGCATCACTGATCACACCTTGTTTACTTGAGTAGGGATGTATTTTTAATTATACAGTACAATATATTCTATAAAAATAAGATATACTGTACAAGTTTAGATCCTATGTTTTAAATGTGTTGACCATACAAGCAGCTATGTACTTTTATTAGTATGGTAAAACAGTGTAAATAGTTTGTGTATTCTCATAGTATAAAGATAAGTAAGAAAAATTGGTTAGTCTGGATCATGATCAATCTGTTTAGATTAGTTGGATAATGGGTCAAATCAGTCACAATCCAACTTGAGTATTTATATTGTTACCATATAGAACTATGACAAGAAGTTGTGTTGACATAACGGATGTATGCATACTTATTATATAGAGAAAAAGACTATGCAGGTGCTGTTTTTGGTTACACTTCCAGGAAGTAAGAGATATCGACTGCTATATCCATTAAAATATAGGCAAAAAGATAACATAACTAAATTTGGGAAGGAAATAAGGGATGAAACAAAGTAACTAAATTTAAAAGGTTACAAACATTTTTATAGACTTAAAATCGATGTACTTTTTGGCGTTATGAAATATGACAAAAGAAAGAATATACAACAACATCAACATTATTCTATCCTCCCTCATATTGCTATCTAGGGTAAACCAACACGCAACCAAAACAAGTCATGTAATTCATGAAAATGAATAGCACATATTCACCAACTGTGTGCTTATTCAATCTTTCAAAATCTATTCATCTATGTTTGTATTCTAATTTAGAAGTAGACTACCTGCATTTAATTTGCATGGCTTCTCAAATAGTGCCAACTAATGCCAAAAGGGAGTAATCAACTCAACTGGTCATTGACAAATTACATATTCTTTTACTTTGAAAATGAAAATAAGTGTGATTCAATGAACCTGTATCATTGCAGACACAGGAAGTGCATGAAACTCAAATTCACCAATTGTTAACCTAGCAATCAACTCTAGGAATCAAGAACTTTTGATATGGTGCAGGTTCTTTAGCTTTTATATCACTACCTCGTAACATGAATGACATAAGACACACCGTGAGTACTCACATTCTACTTTCAAACTAATTGATTGATTTTGAACATAACAGATGTCATTTAGCAACAAAAATCCATGGATCATAGAACTGCATAAATTACCAATTTTCAAAACTTACTTTAATCAAACATGTTTCAAGCTACTAGAACAACTCAGCATAAACAAACCTATATCAATTACCACACCAAAAAAACACCTACATATAAACCAAAGTATCAGACAACTAATCAACTCATTAAGCCATCACAAACATCTCTCCATGAACAATCGGGATGTCAGGTAACCAAAACGCTCAGAGAGCTACCTGTTAGACAAAATCAAATTCTACAACCTACCATTAATCAGATATGCTATTTATCCGGTTGAATTAAACTACGCATGCAATAGAAAACTACAACACTTTGTCCGGGTTGTTCTTCGTATCAGGATCTGAACATACAAATGAACAAATAAGAGACGTGGTAAACCTGTGAAGTTTGTGAGCTTGATGTTAGCCTGAGAGCGATCGGAGAACAGGTCGGCGTCGGTAGGGTTGATGAGGATGGCCTGGGAATATAGGTCAACGGCGAGTTCAAAGTGATCGTCAATGAAAGCCTCTTTAGCCTTGGCGACGAGATCAGACGCCATTGACTTGCAGTGAAGTCTCTAGAAACAAACGAGGAAGACGAAGTTAAAGTACTGAGACGGACGATTGCTTGACTTGAGGTTTTAAAGCAATGTGAAAAAAAGGCCCGAAATCTTAAATTGATGAAACATGGATATCTACTTAAAGGTGAAAAATAGTGGGTAATCACAAAATTGAAGAGGCCTATCACAAAATAATATCTATTCTAGAAAGTTCCAAGATTTTTCGAAAAAAAAATTACTACAAAGTAAGGTCTCCTAAAAACAAATATTTTTTCTTATCTTGATTTTGAAGGTAGTTTAGGATTTCCTTTATGATAGTTGATTAATTCGAAAAGTCATTTCGGAAAAATGGGTTTTGCCCAAGTTTGAACACAAAATTTGGTTCATGTTTGAAACTCACAAAAACTTAAGAATGATCGATATACCAAAATTGTCATTTTGGTTTAAAATGATTTTGACTAAAATTAGTGGTCAAAAACTTTAATTTTATAAATTTTTGCTTTAATATGTTCTGATTTTTTTGAAAATGATAGTCTCTCTCTTCATGGTTCTTAAGAACCCTTCATAAAGCTAAGGAGAAAAAATTAAACACAACAAAAAAATTAAACCAAAAAAAATTGAACCCATTCTTCTAGGGGGTTTTGCAAGTTAAACGATGGTGGGCTGTTGTAACACCGACAATGGGCAAATCAGGTGAATGAAGAAGGAAGTGAGGTTGGGTTTTTCTTCTACCGATGTCCAGCGATTTCTTGGGGCTTCGAAAACCGATGAACACCTATCTGTTCTGAACCACCACACCATCTCGCTTATCACGTCTCTGATCACCAATCTCCTCCTTAGACAGGTCGCCTTCAAGTCGCACACGATGGAAAAAGAGTAGTCTGTTAAAGCAAGCCCTAGCGTCGCCACCTATTAAAGCAAGCACAAGTACACACGACGCATCACCGCCAACGAAAAATCTCTTCATCACCACTGTTAGAAACCCTAGCTGGGTTGTCTGTCCAAACCATAGCGTCGTCGTTACATGAGAACATTCACCAATAAATCCTAACCGCCATAAAAATCCCAAATTTATGTTTGAAGGAATAGCGGATGAGGTGGAAGGTATATGAAGAAGCACATTCTCCGGTGGATTTAAATCTGATGTGAAAGGGATTTGAATCAGATGCCTCCATGAACATCTTCGACTGGATGAACGAATGTGATGGTGGCATAATAGGGAGACGTTGAAGTTGAATCATATGCAAGAAGGATGAGAGGAACATATTTCTGGTTTGTGGCCAAATTTCTTTTGATTTTCATACCAACACACTAAAACCAACAAAAAGATTGATGGTGTTAAGGTTTTGGATATGGTAGGTAGAGTATGACTTGAGAGAGAGAGAGAGAGAGAGAAAGAAACAGCGAGCGGACGAGAGAGAGAGAGAGAAAGAGATTCATTTTATTTTTATTTTGTTTTTTTTAATCTAAAAATCAGAAAAACAAATAAGAAAAAAAAAAAGAGAAAAATGTATTAATTATGGCAAATCCTGTCATTTTGAAAAAAATCAAACAGATTGGATCAAAAACACAACAAAATGATAGTTTTGGACCACTGGTGCTAGTCTAGACTTTTTTAGACAAAAGTGGCAATTTTCGATATACCACGGGAACTATTATTGCAGTTTTGTCTTGAAACTAAAATGGAAATATGTTTGTATATTTGTATTCTCCACAATATCCACATTGGCCACGTATCCTTTATATAGTGTTTTCTTTTGACTTTTAACATCCACTTCCTCTGCCACATTCAATATGTTTGACTTTCTAGCTTCTTTTTGCACGTAAGTCAAACCTTCACTTACTTGTTTGAAGACTTTTCTGGAATCTCCATCCCATCGTGGTATATTACATATTCGAGTTGTTTTGGTTTATAAAACTTTGTTATGCACAACATTAAACATTGAAAATGGTTGTAACTAAAAAAATATTAAGGGGAAAATAGACTTTTATATCTGGTATGGATAAAAAAAAAACTTAACAAAAACATCCCTTGAAAATTGTCTATAGTTTAAAAGAAAAAGTTAATGACCAAATTCATAAATAACAAATGCTTTAAAAACCAATTTGTACGGTCGGTCGAATCGGGAACCGGAAACGAGAGTGGATCAATAAAGACCAGTTTCTTCAAAAATCGAGTTGAACCTGTGTGATAGAACCATTAAAAAAAAAATTTGAACCAAGGTGATCGAACCGGTAAAAACATTTGAACCAGTTTATTGGACTTGGATAATTAAATGTCACTTAGTTTGTTAAAAAAAATTAATTTCAGAGCAAATTGAACATCTCGATCAATCAAGTTATCCAGAGTATACACAACTTGAAGGTCGACACACACCACCGTTAGATGTAGGGAAATTCTTAGTTATACATACATACGTATATATTGTAACATCCAGTTTCGGGATGTTTCTTATTTCGGGTTTGTGGACCATAGTTTGATCGAGTAGAGGTCTCAAGCGTCAAGGGGATAAAGTTTAGACATTGTTAGATGTTGATAATGTTGGTTAAGTGAATTAAGTCTTTAATTGCTCTTTGGAGCAAAAAATGGTAAAATGGGAAAAAGTGATATGTCGGGACTATTTGCATGAATTAATGGAATTTACTTCGATATGTATTAAGTCAAAAGTAAGTACATATGATTATGGGGCTTGTTAATGCATTCACATGTATGTAAAGATCATTGAAAACAAATTTGAAACGAAGAAGTTATGATTGTTTAAAGTTATAAAGAAATAGGCAAAAGCTCGTAATCATGGTTTGATAATATTGTGACCACGGAGTGGTGGTTATGCAGCTCAAGGCCATAAAATCTAGGGTTTTCACAATATTTAAGGGAATGGTTTCGTGTTTTAGGTCATTTTCTCAACCTCCATTACATCTAGAGCCCTTTGGAGTTAACCCTATCCTCCCTCTTCATAGTTTGAGTTTCTTCCATCTCATCTCATCCATTTTTGGAGTCATTTTGGTGGTTTTGCAGTAATGTGTTTATTGGGGAGTGGAATGTAGGTGATGGTGGAGAACCGGATTCCTTATGGATTGTGTAAGTTCACTTTCCGAACTGATATTTCCACCCTATGCATGGGTTACAGGAATCCAATATAATATAATTCAAAAGGACACTTGTGTATCTAGTCACAGAAACACAAGACAAATCGTCAAATAGTTTTGAGTTTGTTTAAGAAGAATAAGAGTTAAGAAGGGTTATGTATACGACTCAATGTATACGGTTCAAAAGATATATATGCATGTCATATTAGGTTTTAATCTTCCAAATTAGTTAAGGAAAATCTTGAAATTAATGGATTAATCAGTGGGACCACCGTCAGGAGTTTTACCCCTATAACCCTGCAAGGGGCGCTGCCCCTATAACCCAGCAAGGGGATACAACTCCATTGACCCCCACTTTTCTATCATACTAACTTATAATTCAATATTATACATGCATGCACTTCGCATTCACCGAGCATATAATATAGAGTACAAACAATAATCCCCTTAGCTCACATGTCAATTGTAAACATCCCAAAATACTGATATATATATATATATATATATATATATATATATATATATAATTTTCAAGCCATTAAACATACATCATTAGTTTCAAAATCAAACATAATATAATTATATCTCAAATATCATAATATAACAAAAGGTATCAATACAGAAAATCATAGGGGGGGGGGGTATGTTGTGTAGTCAAGTTGAACCCTTCCCTTTAAAACTAGGAGTACTTGAAAATGTTAAAACCACAAAACCGTAAGCACAATGTTCAGCGAGTTCCCCAAAATACCACATATCATACAAATATGTTCAGCCCAACATGTAGATGGGCTCATCCCAACATACATACAAATGGTCCTAGCCTAGTATACAAATAAATGGGCCCATCCCAACATACATATAAATGGGCCTAGCCCAATCATGTAAATCAACTCAACCTAACATACATATAAATGGGCCTAACCCAACATATAATAAATAGGTCCAACCCAACATACACATGCAATAGTCACAAAGATAGCTAGCATCCTACACAGTATAGTGAGAATACTCACCTTAATCAGAAGACAAATAAATCTTTGTAACGCCTGCAGACTCGGGCTAGTCAATTTAGAGACAATAAAACATAAAAATGACTTTTTAATAGAAGATTATTTAGAATAAATAATCTTAACCAATTTATAGTATATGTCACAAGGTTTCCGTACATATAAAGAATGCCAAAATCCGAGTTATAACGAATAAGTTATGACCCGTCGAAGTTTTACGGCAAAACCGACACAACACCGGCAATCGTAAAAAGTGAATTTACGATAAAATACTTTCTAGTCTTACCGATCTAAACTAAAGTCACAATATATGTTAAACTCAGAGTGTGCATAAAAAAACGTCCAAATCTGACTTCGTATGAGGAAGTTATGATTTTTCTAAGATTTAGCATAACAGTACACAGTCTGGAAATTCGAATTTTAGATCGGTCGATTTTTATCCAAAATAATCTAAACGATAAATGAATATATCGTTAATAGGAGTTAAACGATAGAAAGACAATAAAAAATGGAGCTCGTATGCGAAACATATGGACGAAACTTAGTCTCTACTCTTCAAGCGCGACAAATTCGAATATAGTTTTATAAATCTGAGATACAATGAGAATTATCCGACATGGTCTAAATGAAAGTTGTAGTACTCATGAATACCAACACGTGGATATAAATAACGTATAAAACGGAGCTCGTACACAGAAGATACGAACGAATCTTAGGGGCTACTCTACGATAAAGTTCATATAAATAAAGGATGAATCATTCATAATTTCTTCACACCGTAACCTCTCTTTCTCTCTCTAACGTCTCTTTAACTTCCTTAAACCCCTCCCAAGTCTAGGGAACCTCCCTAGCATGAGAAGGAAGCATCGGAGAGCCCGACGGCTCCAAGAAGAAAAGTTTTCGGCTCGGAAACACTGCTCCAGCAAAGTCCGGTTTTTTAATAAAAACTTGTTGTAAGTGAGTTACGCCTACACTATTTCTAATATACCTTTTATTTAAATATAGTAATGTTATTAGGACCTTATAATAATTATTTGGGCCATTATTATGTGTTATATAAGTGTCGTTATAATATCTTTTTAACCACTCGCGGTACGGGGAATATGGTTTAAAGGGTCGCATAGGGTTGTTGGAATTCAGAAGTGCTATATGCCAAAATGGTCCTACCCTCCAGTGTTTTATATTTGGCCCCTGTCTATATATATATATTGGGTGAAGAGTATTGTTTAAGGCTTATATAATAGTAATAATAGTTAAACTATTAATTAGTCTCGGTGAATATTAGACTAAACCCTAGTGGTAATGATACTAGGTTTTGTCGAAGGAAATTATTTTAAAAGTAACGGAGCGATGTCTGAGTTCGGAATCACCACCATACCAGGTGAGTGCATAGTTACTTTCATCTTACACATACATACGAAGTATTTTATATAAATTACGTGCTATGTGTGCAATGTCTCGATGGATTTTGGAAAGCAGCCAGAAGGCAGGATACTGTTTCAGGCAGTTTAGAGTTTCAGACAGTTCAATGTTTCAGGCAATTTCAGTATCTCGGGCAGTACTTGTGTTTTAGGATTTCATGTACAGACAGAGTAACTGATTGATTGGGAAGTAAGAAGTCACTCACAGTGGGATTATGTGACATCCCCAATTTCTCAGCCAGAAAAGACCGATTTGTTTATGCTTTGTTTTTAAAATCAGAGTAATCTTTTAAAGAAAACAGTTGCGGAATTTGTTCCCAAAACAAAATATGATAAAAATTATCAAAGCATTTCTTTACAGAAATGTATTTTCATTATATAACAAAATCTCGGGATGTCATGTTCCGATACAGACACACAAGCATAAACAGAACTTACATTATTTACACTAAAGATTTTACATCTCCTTTAATCTCTCCGTGAAATATATCTTCGTATCGATACCTGTGATACAAAGAAAACTTAGTGGGTCAGCCTTGGGAGCCTGGTGAGCATATATGGTTTTCATCCCACAATGTTATATCATATATTTATAAATATAGAACATTCAAACTTGTACAATTTCACCATATAAAGGCAAATCTTATCCCACCCCATCGATCCTCACAACAACACGATCTAAACTCTCGTATCTAAAATTTTCCTCTTTACCTGATCCCTACTCACGGATCTAAAACTATCCTCTTC